TACGCTTCTGCGATCATCATTCGCACTGTCGTTTACCAGTGCAAACCATTTCAAATTAAATATGCTGCTAAAAATGATAATCGTTTTCTTGCAATTTTAATATTGCGAATGAAATCGGTCGAAGTTAGAAATTGGTAAAGAAATTATCCAACGCCTGAAAGGCACTTTGGAAACACGGTCAATTTACTTTATAAGAGCAATAACAAATTTAAGATTCATAGCTGGAATGGAGCAAAAGTTATAATGCATTTGGTGAAGAATTGCTGGCAATAATCGTAGCTGATGCCACCAATTTGAGCGGTGGGGGTTTCTATTTTCAAGATATCTCAAAGAAGATGCCAGCAAAAATTGAAATAATATTAAAAATGCGTAAATTACAAGAAAGTGCTCTGATGCAGAAAATCAGCTTCTTACCCAGGACCCTCAGTCAATCTTGGGATCAAAGGAGACTTTTACCTATCTGGCTTATCGCCAGTCTCACTTTATATGCGGAAACTAACATCGACGATGTTACTCTGAAAATGGATATATTTATCATTATAATTGACTGTGTCTATGACGTTTGCCATTCTAAGTATTCAAAGAAATATTGACACTGAGAATTGTAATATATTTCAGTAAATTGTGGCATAGTATTTATAAGTTTTAGACATTTTAAAAAAATCTATATCGGAAACCATCGTCGTTGATGTTACGATGAAAATGGATATATTTATCATTCTGGTTGACTATGTTCAAAATATTCTAATTATGTTGACAGAAATATTACTCGCCTTAATTAAAGACTCAGTTATCACAAAAGCCATGGGATTTGACCGAATCACAGGCCATCCGCATTTGAAAGAGCCACTTCGTTTTATCTCTTTTCAACGAAGTAACTTATTGCCTGGTATTAACCCATACTTGGTAGCTAATGACGTTGTCAAAGGGGCTGAATTCTATTAGGTTGGCAACTAAGTCATTGCCGATTTCAAATAAGAAGGCAAATTCGGAATTTTTGTTTAAAAATATAACTTTATTCAATTAGATATTCGCCGTTCTTGTCGATGACCTATTTCCATCGTTCTGGCAGAGTAAAAATTCCCCGTTCGTAAAATGTCTGGTCTTTGCTATTAAAAAACTGAATTAGGTGTGATCCGACATCATCCGCGTTGTTACAAATTTTACCATTTAAAGAGTTTTGCATGGAACGAAACAAATGGTAATCCGAAGGCGCAAGGTCAGGGCTATATGGTGGGTGTGACAAAACATCACAACCCAGTTCCAATAATTTTTGCCGAGTATCCAAAGATGTGTGGTTGGGGGCCTTGCGTTATCATGATGGTAAACAACACCCTTCCGATGTGATAATGCCGGCCGCTTATCTTCAATTGCATCCTTCAGTTTTTCGAGTTCTTCAACATACACATTTGAATTTATCGTTTGGTTCTGCAGCATGAGTTTAAAATACAAAATTCCTTTGTGATCCCCCCACCAGACTGGCAGCATAATCTTTTTGGTGAATCTCTACTGCTTTTGATACTGTTTGGGCTGGTTGATCTTGCTTCACCCATGATCTCTTGCGA